AAAGACCAAGGTATACAGGCAACAGATAGCATGATGAATGGATTAGTACCTCATATCTCAATACTAATGTTGAAAGTAAATGGCATAAATGTTCCACTTAAAAGATACAGAATTGCAGAATGGCTAAGAATTCACCAACCAAGTATCTTCTGCCTTCAGGAGACTCACCTGACACACAGGACTCATACAAACTTAACCTAAAGGGGTGGAAAAAGACATTCCCTACAAATGAACACCAAAAGCAAGGAAGAATAGCTATTGTTATATCAGACAAAACAAACTATAAAGCAACAACACTTTAAAAAAGACAAGGAGGGATATTACATAATAATAAAAGGCCTTGTCCATCAGGAAAATATCACAATCCCAAATATATATGCACCTGACACTGGAACTCCCAAATTTATAAAACAGTTACTACTAGACCTAAAAAGTGAGATAGACAGCAATAAAATAATAGTTGGGGATTTCAATACTCCACTGAGAGCACTAGACAGGTCATCATGACAGAATGTCAACAAAGAAACAATGGATTTAAACTATACCCTAGAACAAATGGACTTAACAGATATTTACAGAACAGTCTACCAAACAACTGCAGAACATATATTCCATTCATCAGTGCATGAAACTTTCTCCAAGATAGACCGTATGATAGGTGACAAAATAAATCTCAATCATTTAAGAAAATTGACATTATATCAAGTACTCTCTCAGACCACAGTGGAATAAAACTGGAAATCAGCTCCAAAAACACCTTCAAAACCATGCAAATCAATGGAAATTAAATAATCTCCTCCTGAATGATCATTGGGTCAACAATGAAATCGATGAAAATTTAAAAATTCTTTTAACTAAATGATAATAGTGACACAACCTATAAAAATCTCTGGGTACAACAAATTTGGTACTAGGAAGAAAGTTCATACCCTTATATGCCTACATCAAAAAGTCTGAAAGAGCACAAAAAAACAATCTAAGGTTACACTTCAAGGAACTACAGAAATAAGAACAAACCCAAACCAAACCCAGCAGAGAAAAGGAAATAAAGATCAGAACAGAACTGAATGAAATCGAAACAAAAAAGAAATACAAAATAAATGAACAAAAACCTGCTTCTTTGAAAAGATAAATAAAATTAATAGACCATTAACAAGATTAACCAAAAAGAGAGAAGATCCAAATAAGCTCAACTGGAAACAAAATGACAGATATTACAACCAACACCACAGAAATACAAAAGATCATTCAAGGCTACTATGAACACCTTTATACCCACATAAAATAGAAAAGCTAAAGGAGATGGATAAATTCCTAGAAATACATAACTCTCCTAGCTTAAATCAGGAAGAATTAGAAACCCTGAACAGATGAATAACAACGATAATAAAAAAAATTACCAACAGAAAAAAAAATCCAGGACTAGACAGATTCACAGCTGAATTCTACCACACATTCAAAGAAGAATTGGTACTGATCCTATTGACACTATTCCATAAGAGAGAGAAGGCGTGAATCCTCCCTAAATCATTCTATGAAGCTGGTATCACCCTAATGCCAAAACAAGGGAAGGACATAACAAAAATCTACAGACCAATATCCCTGATGAACATAGATACAAAAATCCATAACAAAATACTAGCTAACTGAATCCAACAGCATATCAAAAAGATAATCACCATGATCAAGTGAGTTTCATAACAGAGATGTAGGAATGGTTTAACATATTCAAGTCAATAAATATGATGCACCACATAAACAGAATTAAAAACAAAATTCATATAAACTCAATAGATGCAGAAAAAGCATTTGACAAAATTCAATATCCCTTTATGATTAAACTCCTCAGCAAAGTCAGCATACAAGGGACATACCTCAATGTAATAAAAGTCATCTATGACAAACCCACAGCCAACATAATGTTGAACAAGGAAAAGCTGAAAGTATTCCCTCTAAGAACTGGAAGAAGACAAGGATGCCCACTCTTCACACTTCTATTCAACATAGTACTGGAAGTTCTAGCCAGAGCAATCAGGCAAGAGAAATATATCAAGGGCATCAAAATCAGTAAAAAGGAAGTGAAACCTGTTGCTGTTTGCTGATGATACAACTGTATACTTAGAAAACCCTAAAGACTCCTTTAGAAAGCTCCTAGAACTGATAAATCCAGCAAAGTTTCAGGATACAAAATTAATGTACACAAATTAGCAGATTTGCTATACACCAACAATGACCAAGCTGAGAATCAAATAAAAAAAAACTCAGCCCCTTTTACAGTAGCTGGAAAATATAAAATTCTTAGGAATATACCTAACCAAGGAGGTGAAAGACTTCAACAACGAAAACTACAAAAGATTGCTGAAAGAAATCATAGATCACACAAACAAATGGAAACACATTCCATGCTCAGGGATGAGAAGGATCAATGCTGTGAAAATGATCATAATGCCAAAAGCAATCTACAAATTCAATGCAGTTCCCATCAAAATAGCACCATCATTCTTCACGGAATTAGAAAAATCATACGAAACCAAAAAAGAGCCCACATAGACAAAGCAAAACTAACCAAAAATAAAAAATCTGGAAGCATCACATTACCCAACATCAAACTATACTATAAGGCCATAGTCACCAAAACAACAAGGTACTGGTATAAAAATAGGCACATAGACCAATGGGACAGAATAGAAAACCCAGAGATAAACCCAATACTTATAGCCAACTGATCTTCCACACACCAAACAAAAACATAAAGTGAGGAAAGGACACCCTATTCAACAAATGGTGCTGAGATAATAGGCAAGCCACATGTAGAAGAATGAAACTAGATCCTCCTCTCTCACCTTATACGAAATTCTACTTAAGATGGATCAGGGACTTAAATCTAAGACCCAAAATTATAAAAATTCTAGAATATAACATTAGAAAAACCCTTCTAGACATTGGCTTAGGCAAGGATTTCATGACCAAAAACCCAAAAGCAAATACAATAAAAACAAAGATAAATAGGTGGGACTTAATTAACCTAAGAGCTTTCACATAGCAAAAGGAACAGTAAGCAGAATAAACAGACAACCCACAGTTGTCTGTTTATTTCATTATATGAAAAAGATATTTGCATATGTTTATTTATAGAAGCACAATTCACAATTGCAAAAATGTGGGACCAGCCCAAATGTCCATCAATCAATGAGTAGATAGACTGTTATATATACTGTTACATATATACTGTTATATTTATACTGAGATATATAAGTAATGGAATACTACTCAGCCATAAAAAGGAATGAATTAATGGCATTCATGGCAACCTGGATGGGATTGGAGACTATTGTTCTAAGTGAAGTAACTCAGGAATGGAAAACCAAACATCAAATGTTCTCACTCATAAGTGGGAGCTAAGCTATAAGGATGCAAAGACATGAGAATGATACAAGGGACTTTAAGGATTTGGGGGGAAATAGTAGGAAGAGCATAAGGGATAAAAGACTACAAATTAGGTTCAGTGTATAATGCTCTGGTGATGTGTACACCAAAATCTCACAAATCACCACTAAAGAACTTACTTGTGTAACCAAAATCCACCTGTTTCCCAAAAACCTATGGAAATAAAAAAATGCAAGAAATAATAAAGAAAGAAAAAAAAAGAAAAGAAAAATGAATAAGAAAGCACTCAATGCACTGATATGCGAAGAGCCTCAAGATACAGTGATTAGTGAAGACTGTGAGATGCAGAACACTGCTGCTCACCTGCACATTTCCATTTGCTCATAAACACACTTTTATTTGCTTAGAGAAAGTATTGAAAGATTCTCAAGAACACAGTATAAGTGTCTCCACATGGGAGAAAGCGGAATGAGGCAGATTGGAGCAGAAGTAGGAAAAAGACTGTCTACTATAGACCTCTTTATATTTTTGATTTTTGAACCATGTAAATGTATTATTCCCCACCCAAAATTTTTCAGTTCTTTTTAAGTAGAATTTGAGTGTGTAGCACAATGTGATTCTCAAAAAGAAAACTCATTCAAATCACATTATTCCAAGAGTTTGAAACCATTATAAAAATCAACAAAACCTTTCAATGGCCCTGATATGAATACATATGCAATGAATTTCATTAATGTATAAATATGAGTGAATGAATAAATACATTCTAAAATAATGCATTGTTCAAATAAAAATGTAGCAGTTACCTCCTTTATCAGTTGTCCTAAAAACTTCATTTTCTCTTAGGTAATAAATTGAAGGTACATTTAAATGTATCCTTTCAGGTCAGCAAAATGGTCCTAAAAATGGAGTTTATGGACAGTCCCAAGTTATCAAAAATCATCTATGGTGCCAGTGTTATGGGGAATATAACTAATATAATTATATATCATTTTGGCTTGACACAAAATGATGTTCTTTTGCTTGCCCTGTATCAGTTTATTTAGGGAAATCATCCTTCCCCTATCTTTCTCTGCCTTTCTCTCTTTCTCTCACTCACACAGACACACACACACACACACAAAATTTACACACACATTTTGTGTAATTTAAGTGCAGCTATCAGTCAAATGGCCCACCTCCCCTGCCTCAGAAGTAGCGAAAGTTTACTGGTGTATTCCATTCTCCCAGCTACCCAGATTCCAAGGGTGAACAAAAGACGCAAGTATGGCTAATCAGAGCCATTGGATAAGCAGTGGAGACTGTTATAGATGAATGAAACAAGGGGATTTCTGTACTTTTGAAATTACAAACTCTAAAAATCAGATATGCCTATAACTGCGGGGGTATGTTATTGCTATCCTTTCTGAAAATAAACCCAACTTAGTGAAGACAACCGGGAAATTAATAAAATGAAATAAATCATGATATTATTGGTGAACACTGGATCCAGCCATACCCGAAGCCAGTCCACCCTTGGATTTGTTAACTTCATGAGCCAATGAATTCCCTCTTTTGTTGCCATTTTGAAACATAGCACACGCGTTTTTCAATAAAATCTTTATGATTATTACCTGTACATCTTCCAGAGTTTCTCTGGAAGCTATGGTCTTTCTTGGGATTATGTCTTAATTTATCAGGAGAATTTAGAAACTGTAGACTACGAAATTTAAGAGATTCAGAGAAATTCTTCATATGATTAATGAATCTGGAGCAGGGCACTGTAGTTCTTTCATAACGAGGGATGCGCTATAAGACAGAGGAGGAAAATACATAAAATAAAATTAGGTCGATGGCTCCAAAATAATTCATGCCACCTAATACTCTTACTTCCCTAAAGTGAGTGATATTTTAAAAACATTTTTGCTTCTTTATTCTTTAAATGAAACGAACCTGAAAACAATCACAGTTGACTCTAGTTCCTTTACATGCACATTCCTGTCGTGTATTCATTAAAGAGGCCAATTAACTTAATATTTTGTTCACTGAAAAAAATCTTATTCAGTTACACTATATGCTAGATATTACTCTAGACACTGGGGATACAAGAGTGAAGTCTCTGCCCTCAGGAAATTGACATATTAGTGGAGGGTGACAAAAAATAAACAAATATATAATAGATTGGATGGTAATTTTTCTATTGCTAAGATGAAAAACATGATGAAGTTAAAGGGAATGGAAAATGTTTAGGGATTGGAAAAACGTTTAGGGACGTGCAATGATTTATATACAAAAATAAGAGATACTCCTCAGACAGGGTGACATGAAAACAAGGATTAACAGGCAGAGATGGAGTAGCCATGTGAGGTCTTCGATGAGAGTTATTGCAAGCACTGGGAAGAGCCAGTGTACACGTCAGAGAGTGGAGAGGCAGGGGATAGGGAAGGGGGTCAGAAGGTGGAAAAGATGAGGCTCTTAAATCAAGCTTTGTCGGCTTGAAATAACAAAAACAGAAAATAAAGAGGAGGTAGAGATACAAAGATATTGGATAATAATATGAAATAAGGTCATAAATAAGGATCCGATTTCATTCAAATTAAAAACTACTCATTCTAAAGCCTAAAGCTATAAAAACCTTGGAAGATAACCTAGGCAATACCATTCTGGACATAGGGCTTGGCAAAGACTTCATGAGAACAACACCAAAAGCAATTGCAACAAAACCAAAAATTGACAAATGGAATCTAATTAAACTAAAGACGCTGCACAGTAAAAGAAACTACAAACAAAGTAAACAAACAACATACAGAATAGGAGAAAATATTTGCAAACTATGCTTCCTACAAAGGTGAAATATCCAGAATCTATGAGAAACTGAAACAAATTTAAAAGCAAAAAACAAACAACTCCATTAAAAGATGGGCAAAGGACTCAAGCAGAAACTTTTCAAAATGAGACATACATGTGGCCAATAAGCACACAAAAAAATGTGCAGCATCACTAATCATTAGAGAAATGAAAATCAAAACCACAATGAAATACTATCTTATACCAGTTAGAATGGTCATTACTAAAAAGTCAAATAATAACAGATGCAAGACTGCAGAGAAAAGGGAACACTTACACACTGCTGGTAGGATTGTAAATTAGTTCAGCCATTGTGGAAAGCAGTGTGATGACTTCTCAAAGAACTTAAAACAGAATTATCATTCGATCCAGCAATCACATTATTGGATAGATATACACAAAAGAAATCATTCTAACATAAAGACACAAGCAAGTGTATCTTCATTGCTGCACTACTCACAATAGTAAAGACATGGAATCAATCCAAATGCCTATCAGTGTTGGACTGGATAAAAAAAGATGTGGTACACATACACTATGGAATACTATGCAGCCATAAAAAAGAATGTTACCATGTCCTTTGCAGCAATGTGGATGAAGCTGCAGACCATTATCTTAAGCAAATGAACACAGGAACAGACACCCAAATACCACACTAAGTGGAAGCTAAACCACCAAAAACATGGATACTAGAAAGGGAACAAGGGGCCCTAGGGCCTATTTGAGGGTAGAGTGGGGGAAGAGGGAAATAATCAGAAAAAAATACGCTATGAGGTACTATGCTTATTATCTTGTGAGGAAGTTATCTGTACACCAACCCCTGTGTTACACAGTTGACCTGTATAATAAACCTGCCCATAGACTCCTGAACTAAAATAAAAGTTAAAAACTATTAATATAAATAAATAAAAATCACTCATTAAACATGCAATCAGAACCAACTTTTCATGAGTGTTGATGTGTAATTTTTGTTGTTTGGATATAATTAGATATTATCAATTTAGATTTATATAGATTTGGATATTGGATATTAATGTATGGATTGTACTGTTTAGATATTATGAATACTATGTGTTCAGGATAGCATTAACTTACTAAGTCTGTACAAGATCAAATCATGCCTGCATGAGCAATAGTGTCTTATCGAAAGGGTAAGGTTTTCATCTTGTCATTTCACATGGCCTCTCACTCACCCAAATCTACCCATCCCCTTAGGAAAATGTCTGTGACTCAAGCCACAAACTATAAGTTAAGTGGGAGGGTCCTAGGAGGGCACTGGAGTAGGAACTCTCTCTCTTTTCCATGACTGTAGACCCAGGAGACACAGGTGGAAGCTTAAAAAGATACACACCCCTTAAACGGCAGGAAACAGCTGGGACTTGAGAGACCCAGTCCAGTTATACTACTCATGGAGCATGGGAGATTAACTAAGGAAGAGTCAGAAACCTACACATCATAAGACTTTTTTGCTGCTAGCATTTTCTTTCTTTATATTTGTTTGATATTTAGTAAAGTCTTTTTTAAAACTCATCACAGATGAGCTAACATAAGTGAAAAGGAGAGAATTTCTACCATTTTGAAGAGAGAGGAGAACCACAGGAACAGCAGTGATACCAAAAGGGACCTTGAAAGAAAGCAAAATGAGAGAAAAACGATTTTCCTAACTTAGAGCCACTGTCCATCTAGACAGTACCTGCGCATAGGCCATCTTGGAGGGGATAATTCAGAGCAGGGGCTGTAGAATCATGAAGGCCCACATCCAAGTCTCATCTCCACACCCCGCTCTTTATACAAGCTGAGACAACGTACCTTCGCTGTTCCTGTTTCTACTTTTGCAAAATGGGGCTAATGCTATCCTGCAACAACTACCACCCCCATTTTATGGATGAAAAACTAAGTAACTTATCAAAGCTATAGAAGTAGTAAGTATTGAAAGCCAGTCTCAAATCCACTCTTTCCTACTCCTAAGCCCATGTTTTTAACCCCATTCCATACTGCCTCCTCATTTTAGAGTCAGCACAGCCAGCAATATAAGTGTCCAAACCAGAACCTAGAAGATCATCCAGGCCTCCTCTTCCTCCCTTATCCCTCAAATCTATGCACAGCCATTTCCTGTCAACCTCACTTTCTCAATGTTCCCCAGTCCCATTCCCTCCTCTGCAGTCCTCTGCCACCTATTGACATCTTCATCCACATCCCTGCTTGCAGTTCACCTCCATGGAATTCTCTTTCTCACATTACCTTTCTAAAACCCAAGTCTAAATATGGCACTGGCCTACTTAATAGTGTTCATTGATTTCTCACCATTTAAATAGTGGTTCTCAAACTATACCATGCATAAAAATCACCTGGTAAACATGATAAAATGCAAATTTTGATTCACATATGTCTAAAGCTATAAGCCCAGGGATGTGCACTTTTAGCAGTTATCCTGGGTGACTGATACAAGTGATCAATTTCTTGTTTCTTCAAGTGTGGCTCAGGACCCAGCATCACCAGCCTCACTGGGGAGCTTGTTAGATATGAAGATTCTCTGGCCTCACCCTAAAACCTACTGAATCAGGATCTGAATTTGAACAAATCCCCAGCCCATCACACTCTGACCTAAAGAATCAAACACAAAATCCTTTCTATGGTATAGGAGCTGGTCACGACCCGCCATCTATTTATCTCTTGCCCCTAACCCCATCTAACAGGACTGCCTTCTCTGTGATCCAAGTATGACAAAGTAGGAAAACTGAGGCACCAAAAAGCTAAAGCAGTGAGCCTCATCTTCTTCATCTTGGTCAGCCCAGTGCCTAGCACAGTCCCTATTACGAGTCATGCTGCTTCATTGATATATGTTGAATTTAACTGAATGGAATTAATCTGTTTTAAAACAAACTTTGAAATGCAGTATCATATTCAAACTGTACCTTTCATCAGGGTATGATTTGCTGAAATGAAAAAGAATGAATGGAGACAAAGACGGCCCACATCATGGGTCAGATGCATCTTACTCCTTAAAACACCTTACATTTCTTCGTTGGGCAGGGGAGATGGGTGCTGATTCCACTCTGTGAAGACCCTGTGACTTTTAGTTGATTCACTGCCTGAAATCAAACCCATGCTCTATATATTAAAGCACAACCCCCACCCTTTTTTTTTTTTAAGATGAGCAAACTTTCACCACAAAGATACAAGAACAGTAAATATTGATCTTCTTGACGGATGGCGTACCTCACGCCACAGGCCACTCAAGCATCTGCTCATTACCACCAGCCCTCCCCTTTGTTGGGAAATAATGCCAAGTGGCCTCATGTGCTATCGGCTGCAGATTGCAAATATTTAAAAGAAATAAATTTCTCTGAATGAAAAGCACCTTTCTTTGTTATCTAACCCCCTCTCCTCCCAAGTCATGTTGATTTTGGGGCTGTGCACACTCCCAGCACCTGTACTTTTCAATTGTTTGCCTGCCAAGAACACTGGTTTTCTTGCTTAGTTTTAGGAGCCATTCCAAGTACAGTAGCCAATGAAGGCATATTTTCTTTCTCTCTTGGCAATGTGTAATGGAAGCATCAACTTCAGGACACCTAACAGCATCTGTAATTAGAGGACAGGGAAAGAAACTGGAGTTTCTCCATCTCAGTATTCATCTCATATGATCATGAAAAATGTGCCACCACTGCATGCCAAACCAAAAGTATAGGTTTCTCCAACAGCCTTATTATTTGGCAGAAAGTTTTCTAAATTGGTTTTGCTGAAATCCAGAATCATTCTTTGATGGAAAAGTAAGATCTGTACAATAAGATAAGAATGGGATTTCAGCAAGTGGAAAATCAATTTGTGATTGAGAATAGCCACTAGATATACAAATCCAAGTGTCTAAATATATAAATGTTGAATCGAACTATTATTTCTTCTACATGAAGCATTATCTATTTGACGTGGTGTCATCATGCCCTGTGTGTTTTTAATCATGG